TAATTTCAATTTGCATATCCTTGATGACTGAGTTTGGGCAATCTTTTATTTGTTTATTGGTCAGTTCGATGTCCCATTTTGTGCAGTGCCTGTTAAAATATTGTGCCGATGTTTAGTTGCATTTATTTTTTTTCTTCTTTACATAAGATATTTTCATCTGTACATCAGGTGTTTGTTGGATGTGTGTGGGGAGACTGTGTGTGTGTGTGTAGTCTTCTGGAATTAGTTTTTGTGTATGATGTAAGTTAGGGGCCAAATTAATTTTTTCCATAGGGATAGATACCCAATTAGTCCAGCTCCACTTACTTAAATGACTATCCTTCCCCCCAAGCACTGCATTGGTACCTTTCTTGTAAATCACGTGACCATATATAATGTGACCGTATATGTGTCTGTGGGCGCTTTGTTCCATCAGTCTGTTTGTCTATTTGTGTACACAAATCACATTTAATTATTATGCCTTTATAGTTGGCCATGCAATCTGGCTTTGAAAGTCCTTTAGATTTCTTCTTCTTGATGGCTTTGGCTGTTCTTAGATCTTTTATATCCAAATATATTTTGGAATCAGTTTACCAATTTCCATTTACAAAAAACCAGCTGGGATTTCAACTGGGATTATGTTGAATCCTTAGATCATTTTGATAAGAAATCTCTTTAATTTTCATAATATTGTCTTCTAATCCATAAGCATGATATAGCACTGACTTACCTAGGTCTTTAATTTCTCTCAGAAGTGTTATGTAGATTTCTGGTTAAGGTCTTATGATTCTTTTACTAGATTTGTCCCTAAGTATTTGATGTTTTCTGATTCTATAGTAAAAGGCATTTAAAACTTTTTCTTCCTAATTTTTGATACTCATATGTCGAAATACAACTCAATTTGTGATATTGATCTTATATCAAACTAAATACACTTATTCTAACATAATATATATAGTTAAGAAATTTTTTTTTAATTTTATTATGTTAGTCACCATACAATACATCATTGGTTTTTGATGTGGTGATCCACGATCCATTGTTTTCGTATCACACCCAGTGCTCCATGCAGTACGTGCCCTCCTTAATACCCATCACTGGGCTAACCAATCCCCCCTCCCCCCCCCAAAACCCTGTTTGTTTCTCAGAGTCCATAGTTTCTCATGGTTTTAAGAAATTTTATGTAAACAATTTATCTCTTTTATTTTTTTAAGAGCTGAGAAACCTTTCCCCTGAAGACCCCAAGGCATTTTACATTTATTGTCTTATAAACTACAACTGGGAAATGTCCATTCACAAACCAGTCATTGGAATGGTAATGAGATTACCATGACCTGGTTAGTCAAACATATTGCCCTTTATATATTAGATACATTACATTAGGATTATGATGCTCACAATTGTTCTTTTTTAACCAAATATATAAATACTTAGAAATTAATGCTTTGATTAGAGCATCGAGGATCAGGTGATAGAGGATGATGAATTGTTATTTGTGGAATATTCCTCCATGTAAATGGGTTGAAATTAAAATTCTTAAGTTATATAATTTCTTAAGCAGTGACTAGACTATTTCATGTGAAAAACATCTATAGATATTGAATTTTTTAAATGAATTATTTCAAAAAGCACCCCTTTTGCTGTTTAAAAAGCACAAGATCAAAAAAAAAAAGGCACAAGATCATCATAGAAAATTTAGCACCTACATATATCAAACTTTGAAGAATAGTTATCAATCACTGGAAGGATTGATTGTGATTTAAATTTTGTCTTGCAGTTTTCTGAATTATCTCAATCCCCTGCAGCAGACTTTGTCAAACTTGACAGCTTTGGCATTTTGTGTCAGATAATTGCATGTTGTCAGAGGCTCTCCTATGCATTGCAGTAATTGAGAGTATCCCTGGCCTCTGCATACTAGATGCCAGCAGCACCTCTCCCTCTCTCCCTCTCCTTGACATTTTCAAAATTCCCACCCAAGGGGCAAAATGCCCCTGGTTGAGAACAACTGCACTATAGTGAATGAAATTCTAATATATGTAGAGAGTTAGATAGATATAAAAATACACAGATGTAAATATAGATCAGCAGAGTACATCATGTCCTTTTTATATATCATAGATATTTTCCTATGGTATTAAAATTTTTTTTTGAAAAACATCCTGTAAAAGCTGCATGTTTATTCTATGGACAGCCGATATCCTATTGGAAAGTGAGATTGTTTCAGATTATTTAAAATAAATGACACTATAATAATCATCTTGAGCATATAACATTGTATTTCTTTAGAATTAATCCGCAGAAGAGAAATTGCAGCATCAAATGGGCATGTTTAAGACTTTTAATTCTTTTTTTAAGTTTTTTTTTTTTTTTTTGAGAGAGAGAGAGTGAGTGAGTGCAGGGGAAGGGGAGGGCCAGAGGGAATGAGAGAGAATCTCAAGCAAACTCCGCTGAGTGTGGAACCCAACGTGGGGCTTGATCCCATGACCCTGAGATCATGAACTGAGCTGAAATCAAGACTCAGTCACTTAACCAACTGAGTCATCCAGGCGCCCCTAAGACTTTTTATATGTATCATCAACCTTTCCATCAGGCAAAATGCTATGAATTTATAACCCCATCTGGTAGTATAAAAAATAGCCTTTTTAAAAAAAATAACAGCTTAAAACCTAATTAAACATTAAAATTGTTTTAAAAGTGCAAATAGCTGTACACTTTTCTGAGTATAAGAGTTATGTATGCTCCTTGAAAACATTCAGAAGATAAAGTATGAGAGAATAAAACTCATCCTTCCAGATATTTTTTCTATGAGCACATACATACACATACACTATTTCTAAACAGGAGCACAGTGAAAGAAAAAGGAGAAGGAACCGAAGACACACCAGTGGGGTTAAAGAAGGGAACTTAGGGACTTCCTTAGCATAAACTTTGAGCTCTTTAGAGAAGATTATATATGTCTCCATTATATATACATTAAATCATATATATATCATATATAATAGAGATATATAGTAGATGTATGTTATGTATAGTTTATATATTATATATCTAAATGCTATATATAATAATACATATCCATTATAGATGTCTGTTATATATGACTCCTTTATATATTTTTTATGTATACATTATATATATATATATATATATATATATATATATATATATATCCTTTAAAGAGAACAAGGATAGATGGGAAAATTTTAGTTATTACTAAGTTAAGGATCATGACTGGATGCCTGGGTGGCTCAGTCATTAAGCGTCTGCCTTTGGCTCAGGTCCTCATCCTGGGGTCCTGGGATCGAGTCCCGCATCGGGCTCCCTGCTCAGTGGGGAGTCTGCTTCTCCCTCTCCTGCTCTTTTTCTCTTTCAAATAAATAAATAAATAGATAGATAGATAGATAAATACTTTTAAAAAAACAGTTAAGGATCATGCCTAAGGCCCCGAGATTCCAGAAAGGAGGAAAGGAAATAACTCAGAGAGTAAATTGAAATGACTCCCAAAAGGAAACTGGATCCATGAAACTGGTGAAAGGTGACCTATAGAATTAAGAGAATGGGTCTTTTTTTTAAAAAAGATTTTATTTATTTATCTGACACAGAGAGTGAGAGAGAGAGCACAAGCAGGCAGAGCAGCAGGAGAGGGAGAAGCTCCTGCGGAGCAGGGAGCCCAATACGGGGCTCGATCCCAGGGTCCTGGGATCATGACCTGAGCCAAAGGCAGACGCTTAACAACTGAGCCACCCAGGTGCCCCAAGAGAATGGCTTTGAGATAAGTTGGGGTTCAAACCCTAATGACTAGGACAAGTACAGAGGGGATAGTGCCTACATGGTCAGAACAGGATCACCAATTCCCACTGTGTCCCCAATCTGTAAGCCTTCCCTTTTTAGGAAGTAGCACCAATGTCTGCCCAGATACTGTGGCCAAAATCTAGGAGTCATCACTGATTGCTGTCCTTCCCTTATAATCTCAAAGACATTCAAGTCTTCCCAACTGAGGCCTCAATGACATTGTAGAACAAAAACAAGCCATCCCTACTCTACCCTTTCTGAATTCCAGCTTTATAAAATCCATGAACATAATTAAATGGATGTTGCTCCACAACACTATATTATATAATGGTAGATGACCAGAACACATTCATTTATTCTTCATTTAAATCCATCCTGTACTTCATCACTATTTCATTTTCCACATTGTTTTTGTTCAATTCCCATTCCATCCTTCATATTCTTGTATTCTGTACTTCATTTCAAATTTCATTCCGTCTTTTAATGGTATTTTAAAATTTGTAGTGTATTTCATAGTCCATTTATTTCAGGCCATTACATATTTTATTCCATTTTATAGTTTTTCCTATTTCAACTTCAATTTCCTTCTATTTACTATTTTATTTCACACAATACTCCATCATATAACGTATTTTTCTTTTATTCCATATATGATTAGATATTTCTATTGTACATTCCATTCTTTTCCCATTATATTTCATTCAATTTCCATCCCATTCAATTTCCCATTTCACCTCCACTGCAATCAATCTCCACTTCATCCCATTCTGCATTCCCTTTCAAGTCCATTTTCCATTCCATATTATTTAACATTCTAAATACCATTCCATTCTATTTTTGAGTTGTGTTTCAGTCCAGTTACTCATCCACCCCACTAAGTATCCCATTCCATTCTGCCAAAATTGCTATAACAGCAACTTTCAGAACCAGTTATCAATATTTTTATCAAAGAATCACAGATGTGCATGGCCTGTATCAAGAATTTTCTAGGAATTTACCCACAGTGAGGATATGAATAATTTTTAGCAAAAAGGATATGTCTCACACTGATATGTTTTTATATAAAGAGTAAAAAGTTGGAAATGTGTTGATCAATACAGCAATGTTTGAAAATGTAAGCTTCCTCCATAAAAGTAATTCTTTGTAGTTACACTGGCCTTGTGGAAACATATTTATTGATATGGGAAGTGTGTTTTCTAGACCCCAAAAACAGGTTACAAAATAGTATGTATGCATAATTCCGTTTTATTAAACAACAGAACTATGAATTAGTTAAGAATGGTCATTCTACCAAAAATAATTAAACATTTCTAATATTTGCCCCAGGGGTATGTGGGAATTTAGGTTCTAGTTTTCCTAGGTTAGGTTCTATTTGCTTTTCTGTTTTGCGTTCTGAGAATGCAGTAATAATGACTTCTGTAATAATGACTATAAATTAGTGTTGAAATATTAAACTTTATGTCTGTGCATCACAGCATAATAGAGAACTATAGCCAAGAATGGAGACTGGGTCAAATAAATTAATGTACATTCATCGGTGGATTACTATGCAGCCCATACAAATGATGATGTATTTTTAAGGACAGTGTTATCCTAATTCCGGGTAACTCCAGCCCATGCCTCAGGAGATAAGGCAGGGGGAAGGATGTTACCTCAAAATCCCCTCTGATGCATGGCAGCCGTGCTGAACATCCCGAGTCAAGATAGCGAGGGCCCCATCCATTTTCTTGATTTCAGGCCACTTTCAAGACTCCAGTGTAGGGTCATCTAGATGCAGGGAGGAGTTCCGGGACTGTCGCTTCTGGAGTCAGACATGGGCCCAGTGTCCTGATGGGATTCCAGGAGGGAGGCCCAGCTTAGGGGTATCTCTTTTTTTTAAAAAAAAGATTTTATTTATTTGACACAGAGAGAGACAGAGGGAACACAAGCAGGGGGGTGTGGGAGAGGGAGAAGCAGGTCTCCCACAGAACAGGAGGCCCGATGCAGGGCTCAATCCCAGGACCCTGGGATCACGACCTGAGCCTAAAGCAGACGCTTAACGACTGAGCCACCCAGGCGCCCCAGGGGTATCTCTTGTTGGCCAGTGTGGTATTTTTTTCAAGCCACTGCTTGAAAGTTTCACCACCAGAGTGGTGCTGACAAGCTAACCTGATTTGGGGTGACTCAAACTGTTTATACGGACAGTATTGCTGCCCCCGCCCCCTCCCTCGAAGCACCCCCCCCCACACACACACACACTCATAGGGACCCACGTATGGATGGGGAATTCACACCGTAGACCGGGTGGAGCACACTGTCTGGTTTGGCGCCAGACGGAGCCAGGTTGGCTCGCTCCCTTTAAGACGAGAGTCACGTGACAACCACCCGACCAATCAGAGGTGAAGATCCGACCAGGACACGCCCATTCTCCTCACTCCTTCTTCCTGAGCTCTACCCAGACGGCGTCTGTAGCCACGCTCTCGCGTCTCTGAGAGAGAATCTGGCGTTATGGACACTCCGTCGTCCGACCAGAAGGCGCAGAAGCAAGAGCAGGGTGAGGTGCCCGAAGGGCCGAAGAACGAGGTCGCCCCTGCCCCCGGCGACGCCCGTGGGGCCGGCAACCCCGATCCCAGTGCCGTGGTCCCCTCGGTCTCGAGCGGCCTTTCCCCATCGGGTGGTGGCGCCCCACAGAGCGGTACGGCAGGTTCCTCTGCTTCCGCCCTGGCTGCCGTCGGCGCCATTTCGGTCAATGGCGAGGGCCCGGAGCTGCCCTCCACGGGCTGTGTGCAGGAGAGGGAGCGTGCTGACCTCCAGGGCGGCCGCAGTCCCCACGCCAAGCTGAGATGTGTGGTGCCCGAGCTGAGATGTGTGGTGCCCGGGGCGGGGCTGGGTCTCCAGGCCTCACACGCGGGCGGCGTGGCCGCCATGGTGCAAGCCGTGAGGGGAGTTGGCCAGGCCAGCGGGCCTCCGACCCTGACCGCGAGCCCGGGGAGGGGCCGTGGGAGGAAGCAGCCCGGCCGCGAGGAGGCTGCCCAGGCTCAGAAGCCTCCAGAGCGGCGCTGTCTGTTTCCTGCGCTTCCTACAGCTCCGTGCCCCGTGCCCTTGCCGCCATCTTCTCCGGGCTCTCAGCCCAGCGGCCGCCGCCGTTCTCGGGCTTCTCCGTCGGGTCACGCATCCCAGCCAGGCCCTGCCCTCCGAAGTCAGGCCCGGGCACCAGGCCCAGCCCTCCGCAGTCAAGCGGCCAGGCCAGGCCCTGCCCTTAATGGCCGTGCCACCCCGCCAGGCATCGCCTTCCGTGGCCATGCTTCCGGGTTGGGCTCTGCTCTTCGCAGCCGTGCATCCGCGCCAGGCCCTGCTCTCCGTCGCCGCCATGTGCCTGTGTCGGGCCCATCTCTCCGCAGCCGCGGCCGTGCTGCCGCGCCGGGCCCAGCTCTCCGCAGCCGCGGCCGTGCTGCCGCGCCGGGCCCAGCTCTCCGCAGCCGCGGCCGTGCTGCCGCGCCGGGCCCAGCTCTCCGCAGCCGCGCTTCCGCGCCGGGCCCAGGTCTCCGCAGCCGCGGCCGTGCTGCCGCGCCGGGCCCAGGTCTCCGCAGCCGCCGCCGTGCTGCCGCGCCGGGCCCAGCTCTCCGCAGCCGCCGCCGTGCTTCCGCGCCGGGCCCAGCTCGCCGCAGCCGCCGCCGTGCTTCCCCGCCGGGCCCAGGTCTCCGCAGCCGCGGCCGTGCTTCCGCGCGAGGCCCAGCTCGCCGCGGCCGTGCATCCGCGCCGGGCCCAGCTTACCGCAACCGTGCATCCGCGCCGGGTCCAGCTTACCGCAACCGTGCTTCCAGTAGCCGTGCATCTGGGCTAGGCTCTGCCCTCAATAATCACGCCAGCCCACCGGGCCCTGCTCTCCGCAGCCGTGCATCCGGGTCAGGCCCTGCCCTCCGAAGCCGAGCCAACCCGATAGGCCCTGCCCTCCGCAACGGCTGTCCGACTCCAGGCTTTGTCCTCCGGAGCCGCATCATCCATAGGTCATCCCCTAGAAGTCGCGCGTCTCTGCCTGTGCCTACTGGCCCGAGTCCTCCTTCTTCCCCTGGGGTAGCCTTACGAAGGCTGGTGTACCAGAGCAGCTCAAGCTCTCCTGATCCTGAGGTCCCAAGCCTTGGTGCCCAGCCCCGTTGGCATGCAGTCCGTATGCGTGCCTCCTCTCCCTCACCTCCTGGTAGGCTCTTTCCTTTCCCTGCGCAGTATGGTGAGAGCTCCTCCTCTTCCTCTTCTACCTCCTCTTCCGGGTCTTCTAGCCAGAGCCCCTCCTCTTCCTCTTCCTCTTCCTCTTCCTCTTCCTCTTCCTACTCCTCCACTAATTTTTCTGGCCAGAGCACCTCTTCCCCTAAGTTTAGTGGCTTGGGCTCCATCTCCACTCCTAGTCCTGCAAGCCTGAGGCGTGCCTTGCTGCCAGAGCTTGAAGCCCTGAGCCCTCTGTCTCCAGGAGAGGAGGCTGAAACAGGGAGCATGCCTTCCTCCCCTACACCTCCAGTAGTGTGACAACTGCAAAAGAAATTAGCATGCACCCACTGACCTGAAGGAGGTGCCTGCTCTGCAGTTAACCTGTGAGGTTTACAAGTGTTCTAGCTATTAACCAACGTAATGAGAAATTTTGATGGCTGTTGTTTGGAGAGGCAGTTTTAAAGCCTCTCTTTCCCATAACTGTACTACCTAGCACTCATTTGCTATTGGCCCCTGATTCCAGGCCCACATTTTCCTGAAAAGGGCCTGCCTTTGCCCCTGAGTTGAGATTTCTCTTTTCCATGTTACCTTTGTATAATGAAATTTTTGAATGAATAAAATAAAAATGTTAACTTCATTTCTAAGATGTAGTGGTTTTTTTATTTTTATTTTTATTTTTTTTTAAGATTTTATTTATTTATTTGAGAGAGAGAGAATGAGAGACAGCATGAGAGGGAGGAGGGTCAGAGGGAGAAGCAGACTCCCCGCCGAGCAGGGAGCCGGATGCGGGACTCGATCCCAGGACTCCAGGATCATGACCCGAGCCGAAGGCAGTCGCTTAACCAACTGAGCCACCCAGGCGCCCGATGTAGTGGTTTTTTTACTGTCCAAAAAACTTAATCCTACATCTGATTTTAGAGGATTAAAGAAAGTTGTTAGTGTGCTAGCTGAGTTCTTTGGAAGAGAGAGGGAATAAAATACTATTCCTTCAATCATTTATTTCTACTATCTAAATGGAATTTTGTCCAGGAAATTCCCATTTATATGGTATATACCCTCTTACCATAGGTGATTTGCAAGTTTAGACAAGAAAAGGGAGCAGGGTTCAGCCCAAGGAGGGGTGAAGGAGATACTCAGGGTCAGGAAAGAGGACATGAGTGTGTGTGTGTGTGTGTGTGTGTGTTGGGGGAAATACTTCCCAGATGGGAGTAGGGAGTGCTGGAAGGAAATCTCAGGAAGGAGGAGAACAGCATGAGTCAGGAGTACCAAGGGAAAAGGTCTGTTTCTAGAGGAGGAAAAAATCTGTGTGTTGGGAAAGGGGACTCCTGAGGTCTGTGTGGGGGAAAGGAAGGTCTGGGAGGATGATGATTCAAGGTTAATGATATGAAAATGGTCAGATATTTATTGAAAAAAAATGTGTTAATGGATAATCTCATTTAAAAAAATGTGACTAAATTTGTGAGCAGGTATGAGTGTGTGGGTGTGTACAGACATATTTGGAGAGAACTGGATGGACATACACCACCATTCTGTGAACAGGATATATACATTTTTGGGAATAACTGATGATATGATCTTTTATGTGCTACACTTTACACTTCCATAATGAAACTCAGCTGTTTTTTAGGAAGTTGTGGAAACATAGTGGGAGAACACAGTAAAGGAATGGAATGAAAAAATAAACCAAACCAGTAAAAGGATCTCCCTCTCTCTACTTTGCCATATTCCTCCTCTCTTTGCTTTTCTGGTATATGGCCAATTCTGGCATAGACTTGGCCAGGAAGGGCCTTCCTCCTGGGTCCAATATTTTAGAGGTTTCTGCCTAGTCTATATTCAGACTACAGAGCTGGGTGTCCAACACCCTGCAATTTTTGTAGAAAATATTTTTAAAAATATTTTATTAGAGAAAGCACAAGCAGGGGGAGGGGCAGGGGGAGAAGCAGGTTCCTGGATGAGCAGGGAGCCTGATGCAGGGCTCTATCCCAGGACCCTGGGATCATGAAGGCAGATGCTTAACTGACTGAGCCACCCAGGTACCCCTGTAGAAAATATTTTAGGCTCCCTCATTCCCCAAGGCTGCTTCTAGATTCTGTAAGGCCCTATTCCCAATGTCCCTCCTAAGGAAGGGAGGTCTGGGCCTGTGGAATACATACTCTTAGATCCAAAATGTTGCCAGGAGGCCACTGTTTGTAAAAGCAAAGGATGTACAAAGCTTGATGTTGTAGGCTGAGTTGTTCTCAGGGTTGGGTGTAAGACCCCTCTTGGCGTAAGAAATAGCTGGCAACGGGAAGAGATTAAGGACATGGGCCAAAGGTCTTAATTTGTACTTCAGCCACTGCAAATGTTAGTGACTGGCCTGTATATACAATTATCTCTCTAGACCAGCCCCAGAGAATTGGAGACACCCAAGGATATATATCTAGGAAGCCATACCTTGTCCCTGGTGGTGGCTCTGACCACAAAACATCCCCTGTTTATCTCAGATATTGGAGGAAGCATTAGTTCAGGTACTAGGTCTGATTCCTTCCTACAGTGAGCCAGCATTCAGTGGGCTGAATCAGAGATGCCACTACCATACTGCATGCTAGTGTTTTAGTAGATATCTGGACATTTGATGTGCTTGGGAGTGGACCTTAATCCAATGTCCTTAGCCCAAGCCCACCATACCAAAATCTGTATAGCCCCTATTGACCACGGACTCTTCTTCCTTCTCTTGACCTTTGGTCCTTACTTATTTATTTATTTTTGGATTTTAAATGAACTTTATTTTTATTTTTTTAATTAAGTTCAGTTAGCCAACATATAATACATCATTAGTTTTTGACGTTGTGTTCAATAATTCATTAGTTGGTATAACACCCAGTGCTCATCACAGCATATGCCTTCCTTAATACCCATCACCCGGTTACCCCATCCCCTCACCACCCTCCTTTCTGAAACCTTCAGTTTGTTTCCTGGAGTCCAGAGGTCCTTTTTTTTTTTTTTTTTTTTTAAAGATTTTATTTATTTGACAGAGAGAGACACAGCAAGAGAGAGAACACAAGCAGGGGGAGTGGGAGAGGGGGAAGCAGGCTTCCCAAGGAGCAGGGAGCCCGATGCGGGGCTGGATCCCAGGACCCTGGGATCATGACCTGAGCCGAAGGCAGGCGCTTAATGACTGAGCCACCCAGGCGCCCCTCCAGAGGTCCTTCTAATAATTCCTCTTTATGGAAGTACCAAATGCCGTCACACAGTAGACCTCCATACTGCAGAATGTAAAGGATAATTTTTTAAAAGACTTTATTGATTTGCGGGAGAGAGAGCGCATGCGCACATGGGAGGGGCGTGTGGGAGGGAGATCAGAGGGACAGGGAGAAGTAGGCTCCCTGCCTAGCAGGGAGCTCAACTTGGGGATCATCGTGTTGGCGGGGATCGGCACGGAGGCACGGGGATCGGCGTGGGGATCGATCCCAGGACCCCGAGATCACGATCTGAACCAAAGGCGAATGCTTAACCAACTGAGCCACCCAAGCACCTGGTAAAGTATAATTCTTAGATTTCCTATTACTTGACCTTTTGCACCATTTGACACTATTGATCACTCCCCTTTCTTTGATACATGTTCTTCCTTCGTCTTTAAAGACTGTTCTCTTTGTGTTCACCCCACTTTCTCCTAGACTTTTCTCATTTTCCACACCTCTAAGTATTAGAATATCCAAGGCCTCAGTTTTTTGCCTTTTTTTCCTATATACATTTACTTCCTAGGAGATCCCATCTAGTCTCATGTCCTTAAATATTGTTCTAAGCTGGTAAATCAAAATATTGTATATTCCCACCTATTCCCTTGTACTTCAGTCATGTGTATCCAGCTACCTAATTGACTTTTCCATTTGAGATGTGTGAAAGGCATATCAAACTTCAGTAAAAGGGAGTTCTGGCCGGTAGAAATAGAATGCTAGCCACACATGTAATTTACCATTTTCTACTAGCGAAATAAAAAATGTATGAAGAAACACATGACATTAATAATTTACTTAATTCCATCTATCCAAAATATTATTTCAACATGTAATCAATATAAAAATTATTGAGATATTTTATTTTTTACTAAATCTTCAAAAGCTGGTATGTAATTTACACTTTCAGTATATCTCAGTTCTGACTAGCCACATTTCAAGTGCTCAAAATAGCCACAAGTGTGGACATCTGTGTACAGAACAATTTTAAACCTCGTTTCCTTAGTCTCTCTTGTTCATTTCCGATTGAATTGTGATTCCACCTCCCATTTCTCATAATTGTGGGCTCCTGTCAAGAGTCCTGAAGTGTCAGTTTTGAGAGTTCACATGCTTCTAGCACCTTTAGTGCCTCTTTTTTTTTTTTTTTAGAAGATTTTATGTACTTGAGAGAGATAGATAGGCAGAGATAGAGCACAAGCAGGGAAGAGAGGGAGAAGCAGGCTCCCCGCTGGGCAGGGACCCTGACGTGGGATCATGACCTGACCAAAGACAGACGCTTTACTAACTGAGCCACCCAGGCGCCCCACATTTAGTGCCTCTTGAGCTGGGCCCCTTGCACTCACCTGATATGAAAAGGGCAAAAACCCTGTGAGCCTCTGCTGCTCTTTCTGGTGAGTTGGTTAGTTTGTGGTTCTATTATCCAGTTACTGAGATGCTATTCCATCACTTCTTTCTCTTCCTGCACAGACACTGGTACCATGTAGGTAATACGACTGTTGGTGACTTGTCCTCATCTACTTGAATTTTGGGGTTTTAAGGGATGTCTTGTAACCTAGATTTTTTTAAAGATTTTATTTATTTGTCAGAGAGAGCGAGAGCACAAGCAGGGGGGAGTGGCAGGCAGAGGGAGAAGCAGGCTCTGCGCTGAGCAAGGAGCCTGATGTGGGACTCGGTCCCACAACACTGGGATCATGACCTGAGCCAAAGGCAGGAGCTTAACCCACTGAGCCACCCAGGCATCCCTAGTAACCTAGATTTGCTGAAAATCTTATCTACACATTTTGCTTTTGCTCTCTGGTTGCTCTGTTTTTCTGTGTTTG